AAAAAAAAATCTTTGTAATTCTTCCCCAAATGATTGGATAGAAACATGCAGCAAATAAGGTGTACAGGACTCTAAGGAGTCATTCCTCTCAGTATAACAATGAGCCATATCTCAGACACAAGAAAAGAGGAATCCTGTTACCATCAGGAAATAATAGTTATTAATGGAGCCTGTGGGGAGATTCCTGCCTGCAGGGGCAGAGACAGCAGAGGCTACAACACTGAGAGCATGAAGCAAAGCGGAGGAGCAGCCCCCAGAGCATCAGGTAGAGTGGCAGGCCTCCTTACCCGTGCGATGAGAAAAGCTGTGTGCCTTTGGGCAGGAGGCTGCCTTGCAGACAGGGGTGCCCTTTACGTTTTTATCTGGGAGAAAGAAGCTCCCTAACACTTGCTGGGGCAGGAAGACACCCAAGGATCATGTGGTTGGGAGGCTGAGGTCCAGAGAGATAGCCATTTTGCCAACATGGCACAGAGAGGCTATACAGACAAAAGAACTCTATCCTTTACATTTTGTAACCTGTTAGCTTCACTAATAAATCCTATAATGTGAGTGTTATCTTTGAGTTCTGTGTGACCAATGAGACAAATGATCAAACCAAGCAAAAAGGGCGAGTGTTGTGGGCAGGACGATGGCATCAGAATAGGATGAGTGTAGGGTAGAGGGTGAAGGCATGGGGGTGTGAGTCTTGGCTGGCTTAGAATTGAAGTCTATTTTCCTAGTGAAGCGGGAAGTCAGCCTCCATATGCCGTTCATCACTATTCATCACAATCCACTAAAAACATTATGCTTTCCTCATTGCCACTACAGTGCACCCTTTGTCATAGATCAAGTGACTGCTTTGTAGGCATGTTTCTGTATTCCCATCCACGGCTGGGCAACTTGCCTATCTTTGCACCAATACCACAATGACTTAAAGCCTGTAACGGCATAACAGGTTTTGATATTTCATAGCTTATGTACTCCAAGTTTAATCTTTTAGATTGTATTGATTATTCTCATCCTTTTTATAAATTCAGTTTGTGATCTTCTATAAAAAACATGCTGGGATTCTGACTTTTGAATGTATATATCAATATGCATAGAAGTAATATCTTTAGAATAGAGTCTTCTATAACATCGTATGATATATCCCTCCATTTTAAAAAAGTCTTCTTTAATTTCTGTCAATAAGGTTTTGAAGTTGTCTTACTAAATTTTAAACTTACATAAATTAAAAACTTATACACGAACCCCATTAAATCCTGTGACTTAGCAAGGAAAGAGACTGTCTATATTACCACCAAACCCTTGTGACTGAAGGAGAGAGCCCCCTAATTCTACTGGAAGTGGTCACACGTGGCCCCATGCCATTTCATCAGTATGTAACTACGCCATCACAATTCACTGAAAATGTGAAGAAAGGCTGAGACGCCAGTGAGCTAGCCCCCAAACTCTGCCCGTGCCATTCTAGAGGCTTTCTCTTCTTCCATAAACATCACAAATCAATACATTCTATCTGGATCCGGTGACTTTAAGTTGTTGTACACCCTCTTGTAATGGCAATCATTCTAATACTGGCATTCATGATACAGATTTGAAAGGACTCATTGACTGACTAGAAATGAAAAGCGAGGGGAAAGCAGCCATGAGTGATCGTCACGTTTCTTACTTGACAATTAGGTAGATGTGATGTCTTTGACTGAAAGGACAAATTGGCTTGGGAACAAGGAAGACAATTCGGTTTAGACACACTGATTCTCACTTGTGGGGCAGGACATTCTATTACAGATGTCTAAAAAGGCCATTAGAAATAAAAAGGGGCTTCCAAAAGTTCATGGAACATTCCTTTCTTTTTGAATGGCGTATTTTTACCAATCACCTTATAAAATCCTAAATCTGAGCAACCTGGGCTATAACTGATGTGGGATGCTACAGGAAGACAGTAACTAACCCACGGAAGCAGCATACAAGAGCAGTGCAAGTGCTGGGACAGACCCTGAGAAATATTTAAGGTCAGGAAAGGAGCTCAAAGAGTAACCAGACAAGACAAACACAAGACTTTATATGGTAGCTTTTACTGCAAAAAATCATGGCCTCTACATTTCACTTGCCAACTTTCCAATGTTTCAATGCTAAATTACTTTGAATGATGGTCGACAGAAATCTATCTTAATTGATTTTTTCTAAAGTTTGTGATTTTATGGCATTTTACATTAATTTAAAGCATAATCAAATGTATTCCTTTCAAAGATTATCTTATACATGAAAACTCAAAAAGTAACACTTTCTCAAAGTGGGTGTTGATAATCCCAGGGACAAGGGAACAACAAGTGATCTAAAATCAATGGCAAGGAGGGCATGGGATGCCTGGTAGGGCTTAATCAAGGGCAATGTAGCCAAGAGGAATTACTGAAACCTAAATGAAGGCTGAATGTATAGTGGGACAAGAGGAAAGTAAAAGGAAATAGAGAAAAGAACTAGGGGACAAAGGACATTTATGGAGCTCTAAATACAGGCATGTACATATGTAAACATATTTATATATAACAATAGGGAAATAGATCTATGTACATATAATTATATATTAAGTATTAAGGCAGCAGATGGGCATTGGACCTCTACTCAAGTCCTCCCTCAATGCAAGAACGCTTTGTTCTGATAACCCAGCATTCTGTGATGTTCACCTTCCCGACAAGATTGCTGTAGACAAAATTGGTTGCATAAGCAAATGTGGTGAAGAAAGATGATGGTGCCTGGCTATCAAAAGATACAGCTTCTGGGGTCTTAAAGATAAACAAGCAGCCATCTAGCTGAGAAACAACAAAGTCCACATGGAAGAAACACACCAGCCTGTGTGATCATGAGGTGTCGATGGGATCAAGTATCAAAGACCCAGAACAAAAAAAATCACATCAATGTGAATGAGGGAAGAGAGTGGAGTGGAGACACAAAAGCCCATCTGTAGACAATTGGACATCCCCTTATGGAACAGTCACAAGGAAGAGACAAGCCAGTCAGTGTGCAGTATAGCATTGATGAAACATACAACTTTCCTTTAGTTCTTTAGTGCTTCCTCCCCCACAACTATCTTGAACCTAATTCTACCTTACAAATCCAGCTAGACCAGAGCATGTACACAGGTATAATTGAGAGCTTGCAACACAGGGAATTCAGGACAGATAAACCCATCAGGACCAATAATGAGAGTAGCGATACCAGGAGGGGAAGGGGAAGGTGGGGGGAGAAACAAGGAACGGATTACAATGATCTACATATAACCTCTTCCCAGGGTGACAAACAACAGAAAAGTGGGTAAAGGGAGACAGCAGTCGGTATAAGACAAGAAAAAAAAAATATATATATATCAAGGATTCATGAGGGAGGAGGAAAATGAGGAGCTGATATCAATGGCTCAAACAGAAAGTGATTTGAAAATGATGATGGCAATATATGCACAAATTTGCTTGACAACAAGAGCTGCAAGAGACCCCAATAAAATGATTAAAAAAAAAAAAAGCAACCCTTTCACAACCAGCAGTAGGAAAGCTTGAAGCAACACAAAATACAACTGCTAAGAGGGTGGTTGGAGAGGACTGTGATATTTAAGAGCACGGCAAATATATCATAGGTTTATTTTAGCACAGTGTCATTTTGAATCCCTATGAAGGCTTGTCAGAGAGAGGTAGACCACCGCTTCTGACCCATCTGGACGCAGCTGCAGTGAGCCCTCACTCTTCTTTTGGCAGTTGGAGTTCCTGCCTGACACACTCAGTGATTAGCACTATTCCGATTCGACGCAATGGCAACAAGCTTGGTTTTGTGTAAAGCAATTATAAATGCTGTAGGGTTCTATACAATAATTCCAAAATTATCATTAAGACCAAAAACCTTACCAATTATATATGCTGGTTACAGCAGCCCTAGTCCTTAAGTTTAGACATTTTTCCCTCTAGATTTTCAGAACCTCAAAGACTGACTTAAATAACACATTAAATTAGCCAAGTACAGTTTCCAGTCTTAATTTTGAGATTAGACAGCCATCTACTTGAGCACCCCTGTAGCACAATGTATCAGAAACTGCTTCAAGTTGCATCTGTGATGTTAACACCATTTATTAACAAGTTAATAAATCCAAGGTATAGCATGAGTGTGGATGTGCTCCTGCACATCCTACAACTTAATAACATACAACACAGTTCTGGGACCCACAAAACAAAATAATCCACACATCATTTAATGTCCACAATACATTCTACGACACAGGATGTTACATGATTTGGATACTGTAGGAACACCATATTATATGCAGGAAGACCCCAGATTATGAACAAGTTCTATTTCTAAACCTGTCTTTAAGTTGAATTTGTATATAAGTCTGGACAGCCAGGTATGGGTCATATCTAATGTTAGTCAAATATTTGTCTTCACCTATGCTACCGAGTATGCCTTTCTATGCATAAAAATATGAAACACTTCTAGATATAAAGTCTTTAACATCATAATACAGTAATAATGGTTTGACACGTAAAAAAGTAGCACCTATTTGTTATTATGAAAATTTTTTTGTACCTTGAATTTTTAATACAATAGGATTTACAAGGTTGTGAGCACAAGCATGTATATGGTCAGACATTGCCTGAACTGATTGTGTGTGCACTACAGCAATGTGTAAGTTAGTATTAAATTTAAAAAAAAAAACACCCAACATTATTTACCTTTATTTCTGCTACTTTTGATTTTTTCTGCAAGTCCCATACAGTAAGCATATGTTCATTGGAGTCATCAATAACACTTAAATAAACACCTGAGTCCTGAAGAAAAGTCAATTTGAGGCATTTTAAAATTCCAAGTTAAAAAAAAAAATCCAAGTCAAGACTGCTATTCAAAGAAATAAATATATATTAAAATGGTCAAGACTAAGATAATAAAAAATCTTTTAACATTGGGACTCAAATAAGAGAATACCATTTATTAAAGCTGTATTTTCTTCAGAAGCATTAATAAGAGTCTTAAACATTTTTTAATATATTTAAAATGTTTTTCCTAGGTTTGTTTCTTCTTGCCATCTAGGAAGTCCTGTAACTCAAAGATGGTAAATAACCCATTTTAAGTATTCCTAGTTCTTGCTGCCTTTTATGTTTCGTTCTTGCTATCTTTACTCAAGTTATTTTAACTTGATATAGGTGGTAAGAAATGTACCTAATTTTATCATTTTATTCCTGAGCAAATTTTGGTAGTTTGATGGAACAATCTAAAATTAATCTGAAGTTTGCCGATTTCAGTTTCCCACCATATACTTGGTCTATGTTAGCCTGAATAAACAAGGTAAGAACATATTAAATTCTGTCCTAGCATATAAATCTCCTAGTTTAAGAAAAAAAAACTGTGATATTACAAAATTTTACTTTCTGATATCCTTTGTACTGCGTGCCATTTGCTGCCTTTGGGAGAGCGATACTGGGGTGAGGAGTCAGTGGTAACAGGAACAGCAGAGCTTACTTCCTCTTTTGAACTTCCCACTAGCCGGCACTGGAACCCTGAACCCAACTAGCAAGAGTAAAATGAAGCAGTCCTAAATAGTCCGAACAGTGTTAACAATAGTATCAATAACTGGTGCTATTACAGATTTTTCAAAACAGAAGTAGTAAAATATTACTGCTGTTTCTGTCCTTTTACATGCTTTTCTAAGTGCCTTTCTCCTCATCTCTGACTCCTTCGGTCCTTAATATTAAAGACCTTCAAGGGAGCAAAATTCCTAAATGGACACAATCATTCTACTTTAAGCATCCCTTCCTTGTCCTTATCTTCAAGCAAATTCCCATAACGCAGGTTATAGTTGCTGACAGAGAGAAACTGAATAAATAATTTGAGTGCATAAGTATATTCAAAGCACAAATGAGGCTCAATAGGATTTGGAGGGCTATTCACATTTGAAATTTGACGCTGAATTTTAAACCCATAGAGATTAATTCATGATTTTAGCAAATTCAAAGATGATTGTTTCCTTTGCTCTAACATGACACTAAGAAAAACGAACGCTGGTGCAAAACTGGCCAACTTTCAGGTCTGCAAATTTTCTAAATAAAATAGGTTTTTAACGTAAGCAAAGCAAAAGGTTGTTTGAAACTGGACTATGTGGTGTATGCATTCCTTTAATACGTACGATTTCCTGCTAGTACATCGGAATCGGAATCCAGGGCAGAACAGTGCTCAGTGTGGTTAAGCATAACATCTTGCATCATCTCTAAGCAAAAGTACTTTAGCAGTTAGGTTAACATGCTGGCCAGGGTTAAGTAAGAGCTAACATTTTCTTTTCAAATTCAGTTACAATTGTCTATGGATATAAAACTGAGTTTAACTTTTCTGTTTCTTTGTTGAGCTTATTTTTTTTTTTTTTTAAATGTTACTCACTGCTTTTGAGAAGCTCAGGCATCCTACTCCCCGCTCAAAAGTTCCAAGACCAAGAACTTGCAGTGTGGACAGAGTAACAGAATCCCACACTCTAACATGGGGTTGCAGAGGCTGTAAAAACAAAAGGAGAAACACAAAATAGCAGGATTAAACGGTACTTGGGGAAAAAAAATAGCTATGGAGTCCATTTTGACTCACTGCCTCCCTCTGTCTACAGAGTCAAACTGTCCCCCATAAGAGCAGACTGCAAGGCCAAGGGCTTTCTTCCAATTGTGTCTGGGTAGGCTCACACCACCAATCTTTCCATTAGCAAGTACAGTAGTCACATGCTTAACCAGTTGTGGCATCAGGGACTCCTATGTGGCTCTGAGGTAGATGCACACAAGTTACCACCATACAGAATTGGCTGACTTCTATAAAGTAAAAGGGTATGAGTATACATGTGCGACAGAAGTCACTACTATTTTAAACATGCTCCAAAAGGATTCTGTGCACATAATTTCTTTTCAAACTATAAAAATGAGAAAATAACAGCGCTAATCATCGTAGCAGCAAATAATTCAAATCTGTGTTATATATGTCATACATTATTCTAAGGGCTTCACATGTATTAACTCAATCAATCCTCATAAAAACCCAATAAACTAGGTACTACTACAATTCCCATGCAGTAGAGAGGAAACTGAGACAGAAGGAGTTAAGTAACTTCCCTCAAGTTACACAGCTATTAACGACAGAGGTAGACTTGCTCTGGGTAGCCTGCTCTTTAGCATCTCCGTCTTTCTTGGGGAAAGAGACATTTGAAACCATGAGAATCACCACACAATCCCAATAGGCCATTCATGACTAATATTTACTGCTGATCTTTTTAAAATTTTTTTAATTTACTGCTGATCTTTAGAGAAGGGACTTGTTATAAGCAAAATAAGTGAAGTTGAATAGTAACTGATATTTCTTTTTAGCTCATCACAAATGGAATTTTATTGTACATAGAGCAAGTTTAGCAATAATATCTAACTGAGGACATGGGAAAATGAATTGCTACAAAAATCATAGAAATTTTTATTGAAGAAAAATATCAAAACGTGAAGCTATTGTTCCTCAACATCTTCTTCAAGTCTATGTACTTCTGAAGCAATGTTTCCATCTTTTGGGGGGAAAAATTACATAGTATGATTCTTTTAAATTTTGTCTAGAAATGCCCCTATCTTGTAACTTGTCTCTACCCTCCCCCCATTATTAGAAATTCTTTAGCAGTTAAATTTTAAAAGAATAAAATAAAAGAATTGTGGTTAAAATAGAAAACAACTCCAGTAGGTGAGGAATGCATAACTCACCCTTCCGTCTTTATCCACTCCAGCTATTTGTCCAGTTGCAATCCTAATCTTGTCAGGATGAATAGCAAGGCTAAAAAGCAGTATTAATAATAACTTAAAATACAGAAAATCTGTGAAATACGAGAAATCTTTGTACAAATATAAAAAAATCTCATTTTCATAAGTTTTGTTTTATTTTGCTTAGTAATTTAACCACATACCAAACACCATCAATTGAATTTCTTTCCTAAGCTTTCACTACACTTTTCTATGTTAAGCTTATACACACAAACTAATGGAATACTATGTTTAAGTAGCCACTTGTTATAGAGTCCATTTGTCTTTCTACTATGCCCCTTCGCCCTCGCCAAACAAGTCATCACTATACTTATTTTTAATTAATCATTCAATAAAACATTTATAGATGAAGACAGGATAAATATATAATCTGTATTTTAATTTTATACAAATGATAAGGCTATTGAATATTCTTGTCCTTTACTATTTTTATTAAGAGTCAGTATATCTTAGGGATCTTTCATATAAACACTTAAAAGAGCTTCCTTGTTCCTTTTTATACTGTACAGGCTGTACAGTAACGCATGAGTATAGTACTAACTAGTCCTCAACTGCAACATTTTGGACTGCTTCCATTATTTACCATCACAATGTTATAATAAATGAACATATATAATTTTCTAAGTATGTAAGGCAATATCCACTAGAAGTTTATCAATGTCTACATAAGAATATACAAAAAGGTATTGTTAACAAGTCACAGATACTTTACTAAAGAAGCATATCAACAGTGAAGCTGTTGCTCACTACCTCCCCAACTAAGTCTATACCCTTCTGAAGTCAGTGTTTCCACCTCTGAGCCTTCCCTGAAGAATTCTGTGCTCTGTAATCTACAACATATCAAAATGGCAGTTTATTATCAAACTGAAACTGTGTTCCTTTGAGTTTGGGTAACAAAAAGAAGTCTGAAGGGGCAAGGGCAAGGGCAAGGTTATGGAAGGGTAAGATTTCCCAAAGGAATTCTCTCCTAGGACAGCCTTGCTACCATCCAAGAATGAGCAGGTGCATTGTCATTATGCAGAAAATCACTGGGCCCAACTTTTGTGACCAATGCAGTTTTCCATTTTCTTAGAACTTCTTCATAATAAACTCTCACACAATCTCCCTGTATACTTGGAGAAAATCTATCAAAATTACCCTTTGGAGTCTTAAAAAAAAATCCCCGTAAACTTTTGAGCTAACCTCTGCCTTGAATTTATTTGGCCTTGGAATGAACTGTTTTGATTATTCCCCACCACCTATTCCCACCACCAACTCCAAAGACACCCAACGACAGACTAAGACAAGCGTGTTGTAGGTAGCCATCCACCTATCACAGAAACATGCTTAATCTTATTTTGTTTGGAAGAAATTCGTGTATAGATGAACTGAAACCTAGCAGTAATACTTCTTGACTTGCCCTCATAAATTATCTTAACAGCTACTCAGAGAAGCCTTTAAATGTTGGAAAATACATTAAGCAGTAAATGAGTGAATTCAAATAAACAGTAACAAAAGTGTGTGTGTGTGTGTGTGTATAATTTTTAGCATGCCTAAGCACTTGAAAGGAAATCTCACATTTTTATAGTTTGGTATTCTATGAAATAGTATGACCTTTAATCAACCATATTTTCTTCCTCAGAACAAATACAAAACTCTACCAATATACCCCCAAATAATCAAACAAAAATCCCCGAAACCCAAAGTTCATTGTGCCCCACATGTATTTGCTATGATACCCCCATTCCCCCACTATCCCTCCCCCCTTCCAGGAAACAAAACGGATCAGAAAAAAACAGAAGTCGTCACAATCTACATTTATAACAGAGGGATTTTCTTGTTTCTTTAACTCCTTTTTCCTTTAAGCTATATCCGACACAACGCTCCGTGTTAGATGCCACCGAGTCGGCCACCACCTTAGCGAGCCCATGTGCAAGACAGTAAACTCCTGCCCAATCCTGCAACAAGCAAGCCTCCCCTGACAGACAAGTGGTGGCTGTGCTGGCTGGGAATTCAACCAGGGTATCTTGCCTGGGTGTCAAGAATTCTACCACTGAACCACCATGGACCCCTATAGGGTTCCCAGTATTACTTTTAAACTCTGACCTCTTCACGGGGATTTCTGGTAAAACTGAAATCTTAAAAACAAGACGCCAACAAAGAAAGCATCAAAGAACAAAGTAAAGCCAAGGTTAAATTGATACCAACCACTTCACGCAGTCTTTATGCCCCAGGTAGTGTCGTTGGGTTCTCTCCTCATAATTAAATAGTACTACTACTGATGCTATGAAATAAACGACTTCCCCGGTAGGGAGAAGGTAAACATTAGCTCGACAGTCCTTTCCTCTATAACCGTATCTTAAAAGAAAAAAGTCAAGGTTTTTCATAAAACATCATGTTCAAGGTGTTAATTTGACATTTTTTCAAGGGCACTTGAAAGCAAATCAGGAAAATATAGTGGAAAAGACAGAGCAAGGTTAAAAAATTCATGCCATAATCTCGTGCAGCACTGTCTTTTAATAAGTTTAAATCTTCATTTCTCCACATTAGAAAAACACATTCTGATTTTTTAACATGTTACAGTGAACATACAGTGGCGAACAAAATAAATGTGCATCCCCTCTCCCTAGAGCTAAGGGAAGACAGAAATCCAATCAGCTACATCACTGCAATGGAAAATAACAGGATACTAGAAGAAAGCATGAAAGGAGGGGCTGGATCTTGATGCAGAGAGAGAAAGGATTCTCCAACGAAGGCCTATCTGAGAAAATGACAGTTACGATGGATCAGAATGATGAAAGAGAGATAGCCAAAGAGCTTTGATCAGCAGAAAGCCCAAAGGAATCGCAGAATTAAAGAAATGGGTAGTCTTCCCAATCTGGCGTCTGCCCACAGAGGGGAACAGTTGAAGGTGGAGAGAGGCAACGCAGAACAGCGGAGGAAGACAGCAGAGCTCTAACTAGTAGCTGGCTTCCTTGTGCTTAATCTGTCCCCTGAGGTTCTAAGGTAAGTAAGACTCTTAAAGCTAAGTTTGTAGAATCTTTGGTAACACTGCTGACCGGCAATTTCATGCCAAAATTATCCCTATAATGCTTTCAGGCTTACAAACAGCATAAATTAAGTACAAACTTGAGTTACTCACAAGCAAGGTTTGGGCATGAAAACACAAGTATGCTCATGAAAGGCTGGCAAAGAGTCTATTAGTAGTTATTTTTGTATTTCATGATTAGAACAAGCCTTTTTAATTTTTCACTCAAAAAAAAAAATTTACATCCTTTCAGTTCACAAAATGCCCTTTTAATTTTTTTAATGCCCTTTAAATTCTTACATATACATATATATATATATATTTTTTTGTTATAAGTGAAGAAAGTAAGGCCTATCAGGGAGAAGTGACAGAGCCCTGACGCAAACACTGGTCTCCTAATTCTGCTGCACTGCCTTTCCCACCACTCTGCCAGTCCAGCATGACGTGCATGGGATACTGCTTGTTAGCCAAAGACAGTCCTTCCAACAGCTGTGTTCCAAGTGCTAACAAACAATACACACGAGAAAGGATGAGAGGACGACTCCTCTTTACTCTGCAATTATTCTTTATAATGTATCCGGTTATGCTATGTTCATACCAAAAGAAGTATACTAAACAAAGAAAATTTTTCTAAGAGGTTAGGTAAACGATTTTCTTTTTAACCTAGAGACAAAACACACACAGTCGAAGTAGTAAAGGATACACCCACTCCAGTTTGAGTTTCTCAGGAGGCTGCTCTGTTCTGATGTCATCATAATTGTCAACATCAGAAGGAATGAACATTGTGATTGGCCGTCCTCTCATAAACATTTTAATATACTCTCCTTCTGTTGAAATAGAAGACAGAATTTAAGCCACATGCATTTTCCGAACAACCAGAAGAAAAGTGGTTCCTTAATAAGACATAATAAAAATAAGACATAGATAGTTACTTCAGTTTACACTTAAGAGTACACACCATTGATTTCTGTCATACATCACACAGCATGTAAAAAAATTGATATTGTTAAAAACCAAGTCTAAACATCATAGGAAAATAAATTTTCTTAAATGATAGCTACTTTTGTAATTAAATTGTAAATTAATCTGTATAAACTGACATACTTCTATAAGACAGCTAGGAAGGTTGTGGTAGAAAAATGCAAAAGAATATTACTTCCCGGTAGTTGAAAAGCAAAAGATTATTACCTGGGCTGGCAAGAACCACGTGCAACCTACAAAGTGGCTAACCTACTGGTGGTCGATGACACACCACAGATATGTTTATCCAAGAATATGCCACAAGAAAGAGGTTAACCAACTTTGTAAGTTAGGGCAGGGAAAGCAAACTAGAGGGACTAACTTTTCTAGGCAGCTGGTGAGCAGAGCTAGGAGATAAAGACAATTTCTTTCTTTCTTCCTTTCTTATTTTAAATAATAGTGCCTACCATCAGCCTTGAGTTTACACAATTCAATTTTACTAATCCTCTGGAGACAATGCTAGAAAACAGTTATCTAATTAGCGGCATAACTTTCAAAATGTCTTTTATTGATTAAAAAAAAAACATCAGTTGCTTATAAGACACTAGACCAAAAACGGAAAATGCTCAAATAGTCCAGAATCCAATCAATATTTTTGAACATTGTTTACAAACATAAACAGCACTTCACTTAACTAAATAGAATGGACAGCTTATGAAATTTAATTTTTTTGAACACCCCCCCCACTTCCTAGCACCTCAATGTCCTACATGCATGTAAGTTGAATAAATGCTGCCAGTGATTATGGAATGGTTCCAAGAGACCATAAACATGAAGGAAGGGACTGAGTTACAAAAGCAGAAAAAAGAGGTGGCATTTAGCAACTTGTCTGGCAGTAGATGAAAACTGCTGCATGAGAACCAAACTGAAAATGTGGGTACTGTAATTAACCAGACGCTCACAGAGAGCTGTCACACCAAAAACCCAAGCTCACTGCCATCGAGCCAATTCTGACTCATGACAACCCTATAGAGCGGGCTTCTAAGACTGTAACTCTTGACAGGAGCAGAAAGCCTCATCTTTCTCCTGCCGAGCAGCGGATGGTTTCAAACCACTGACCTTGTAATTAGCAGTTCACTACACCACCAGATCTCTAATAATGAGCTAAGCTACTTATGGAGACAAGTACTATTCATAGTTTATATAATACGAACCATAGAAGGGGAAGGAAGATAAAGAAAATTACTTGCTAAATGTCTGCAACTATTTCTCCAGAGTCAGATTTGTTGTGCTTGTTATGGGTGAGAAGGTCAAGTTATTTTTATTATTGTTACTCACAGTGTGCTCGGCCACGGGACGGATCTAAGTACAGGCGAAGACCTCCTACACTCTGGTCCTAACACCACGTGATGTGTCTTTATTACTCCTAGACCTGAGAGTGGGCTCTGCTTCCTGATGATTTTTAGCAGAGCTACACTTTGATGATTAGTAAAACACTGCTAGCTGCAATTATTCGCCTTCCACAATTACTCTTCATCTGTTTGTCCTTCTCATTCACAAACACACACAAACGTGTGTATATATAGCACCCTCACATATATTACCATTTGTTAGCACATTAAATTTCCTGCTAGTATTTTTCAGAAGAAAAGATGCCTCTTATCGTCATTTTAAAAGAGCTGGATGTCCAAACAGAGTAAAGAGTTAAAGATATAATTAAAGGGGGAAAAATCTCATTTGCTAATAGAAACCTCTGAATATTGTACTTATACTTTCATCACCTGTCAGGCAACACAAGCACTGGCTGTTAAAATATGATAAAGAACAGTAATACACGTTGGAATGAAAATGCTTTCCTCGCCTATAAACTGGTGGTATATATGTCCCAGTCCATAATCCAGGCACTGTAGATGTGACGTGACTCTGGTTACACTTTCCTAATACATATATGCTACTACTACTTACTGCTCAGGACTATGATCAATTAAGTAAGACAGCACACTGTACAGGTCCAAAGGATGCCCTCAACAAATACTTCCTTTTGAGGATTTGTGATGACTTAAAGCCCTGTCTCAACTAAACCCAAACTAACTGCCATCAAGCCAGTTCCAACTCACAGCAACCGTATAGGACAGAGTAGAACTGCCTTTCCGGGTTTCTGAGGCTGTAAATAAAATCTTCATGGTGGTAGAAAACTTCCCTTCTCCCAGAGCGGCTGCTGGATTCAAACTTTGACTCTGCAGTTAAGAGTCAACATGTAATTCACTATGCCACCAGGACTCCTAAGCCCTGTCTCAACTCACGGCCATTGGGTCCATTATTCAACTCAGAGCGACCCTACATGACAGGGGCAGGGAATAACTGCCCTGTGGGTTTCAGAGACTATAACTCTTATTGATGCCCGAAAGCCTCATCTCCTTCCTGAAAAGCAGCTGGTGGTTTCAAAACGCTAACCATGTCTAGGGTTTATTATTCATTATTATGCACGAATTAATACACTGGGCAGCACTTTCATAGGACACATTTTTCCCACTAGGCGAGCATCTAGTTAGTGCTCACTAACTCACTGAGTTAGTGCACCCAATGATTTCACCTGGGAAGGTTCTCTCTGGTCACAGTGAATTTTTTCAAAAAAAGTTTTAGTTGAATCTAGTTTTTTGTGATGGCTGATTTAAGCACGGGGCTGTGAAATGTTGTTTCATACTTGGAAAAAATGCCAGAGAAACTGTTGTGATGTTGAACACAGCTTACAAGGACAGCACTATGGGAAAAACTCAAGTGTATAGTGGTTTTCTCCTTTCAAAAAGGTGAAATGTTGATTGATGGCAAACATCATTCTGGACATCTGTCACTTTCCTCAACAGACAAAAATGTTGACAAAATACGTGCACTTGTGCTAGAAGATTGACAAAGGATTACTGAAGAGATGGGCAAGTCATCTGGACTATCTTGGAACTCAGTTAAGAGAATTTTAACAGAAGATTTGGGAATGAGAAGGGTCGCTGGGAAATTTGTGCCTTGGGTTCGGACTGACTAGCAAAAAGAGTGTTGAGTGGAAACATAGTGCTTTGAAAGAACAGCTCTGAAGTGACCCTGACATTTTTCCATCATTACTGGTGACAAGACATGGTGCTGTTCTTACAACCCTGAAACGAAGCATCAATCAATGCAGTTGAAGGCACCATCGTCACCTTGCCCAAAAAAGCCCGTCAAGTAAAATCAAAGATCAACATGATGCCCCCTTTTGGTTTTTTGATGTGAGAAGGGCAGTGCCTTTGCAGTTTGTTCCACCAGGTCAGATTGTTAATTTAGCTTTCCATTTAGAGGTTCTGAAAAAAAAAAAAATCACGTGACAGCATGGGATAAAAAAGGCTTGACTGGTGGCAGGTGGGGGACTGGTTTTGCCACCACTACAATGCACTTGCTCACAAAGCCATCTCAGTGCACCAGTTTTTGGCAAAAAACAGCATGCCTCTCTAGCCCCATGCAACTAGATCAACTGACCTCGATCCGTGTGATTTCATTTATTTGAATGAACGGGGACACTTTTTTTTGTTTCCATGAATCCAAAGGAATATGAAAGGACAGCAATTTGATGGCAGAGATGAATAAAACAAGGGAGGTGCTGTTAGTTATCCAAACCAATAAGTTTGAAAAATGTTTCTAAGAATGCTTCTAAAAATGTTTCTAGCAGATTTGACAAATGTATTAAGTATAATGGAGAGTACTTCGAAAGTGATAAGGTTGTTTTGTAAAAAAATTTAAATACATAGCTTTGAAAAAAAACATGTAGTTTTTTGGGGCAGATAGCCTAGAATAGTTAAGGACAGGCTTCAATTTTGACATTTTCACTTTTAAAACATCTGAAATTAAATCAAGCAAAATGTGAAGATCTGGTAAATATGCATTACTTCCATTCATTTTTACAAAGAATTATTTCACGATCTTTAAACTAAAAAGTTTATAACACTTTAAAAGAAAAATATCAACACAACACGGACCTTGGTGACACAATGGTTCATAATGCTCAGCTGCTAACCAAAAAGTTTTGGTGGTTGGAACCCACTAGTGGTTCCACTGGAGAAGGACCTGGTGACCTGCTACACTAGCATACAGGGTTCAGGGGCTGAAAGTAACTTGAGAGAACACAGCAATCAATACAGTATTTTGTTTCTTGTAACTACTTATGAGTTGAGTTCAGGGATGTGGCATGTAATTTAACATGCTTCCTCCATGCAACCTTGGCATATGTCATGAATCAAAAAGCACGCTTCTTTCTAGTTAAGCCTACACACATTTCAGAATTGTTTTCAAAGTATTTTCAAACCTGTATTTTATAAATGTAACGCTTCAGGAAAGCAATCATCATCAACCCAGCTAACAATGCAACATGAAGTCTTATGGTCATTTTCGATTTGTAACTATAACTGTAATATCAATACAACCAATTGTAACCAAAATATCTGTTAACTTGTATGCTTAAAAAATATGCATTTTCTGGTTAGTTTCATTTTCTAGTTTAAAATGTGTAATGCTTGACTAGTTTATAGTTTCTCTTATAAAAGGTTATATTCTCCGTGCCTGGAAGAAGCAATTCATGTTTTTTACCACCCCCCCTCAGCTGAAAATGTGGAACGAGGATGCCAACTTCTTAGAAGTTGTGATACATTTTTTTTAAAAAAAGCACGGCCTTTAAATATATTTTTAATCCAGAGGATGGCTATCACCAACTACAGCATTAAGAAACCAGATCTTTACTTCATAGGGCTTAAAAAAACATCTGCACTACAGGAAAGCTCTGTTTTTGATGGGTAAAGTAGAGGAGCAAGTCTCCTTTTAAAACAGAAGAAATGCTTGGGCATAGTTCAGACCTAAGGATCCATGTAATGTTTATAGAACTCATTTACAATTGGCCGGTGTCTAAATTTTAAAACAAAATGGTGAGTATTCCTTGGAAATACAGAATTTGGTTTCCTACCCTTTTATCTAAACTGTAACAGACTTAAAGCTAGTATCTTTATTCCCAAATTCTAGAATTGCAAATGCCTGATCCTCTCTAAAATAACAAGAATGCAATTGTTGTGTGATTGAAGGATTTTTGCTTCGTTTCCACATTTTATATTTTTAGAGGTCATTTTTTAGCGATTCCTTCAGATACAAAGCTCTGTGTACACCAGGTGTGGTCAGGTTTGCAGACAGAAAAGCCACTATCTGACCCGAAGGCAGTTAATGGGCAGAGGAGTGAAGCTTGTGGAGGTGGGTAAGAGCGTTGTCCCCCACTTTCTATTTTCTGTACGAAAGAACTTTCACAAAGTTATTGAAGCAATTCTATTGTTATTGTTGCTAGGTGCCCTCAAGTCATAGAAATGTCTAAATTAACCACATTTACATACAAGGAAACAGATCCAAGATCTCAAAGACACAGGGGACATTGTATTATCAGGAGAACAAGATCTTCTTTTTTTCACAAAACATAGATTTCATTTGGCAAATGGAAATTTGTTCCTCCCCAACTACACTCATCGCATAATGTTAGCTAGTACAGGAAGCGATCTTTTATTGTTTTACCTTGTATGGTCCGGGTCATTCAGACCCGCTAGTCTTATTTGTTGCACTGTACCACTCTGCTTCCCTGCTCTAAGTGAGATGTGTAACGCAACTTCTACAGCTCAGACCAAAACCTGTATTTTATAACTGTAATGTCTAATAAATACAAAGTGGTATACCACCTTACTGTTCTTTAATAAAGTTAGCGAGCTCCTACCTTACAGATTTTGCAATGTTCTCTGTTCTTGAAGTTTCTTTTCCCAGCTATGCACTTAGTTCACTCATTTTCTTTAGCCAACTAACTCAACGTCACCATATTAGAAATGTCTTCCCTAGCTTACATATATTAAGAAAATCAATTCTTTCCTTCTCTTATATTTTCAAAGTATGCATCACCCTCCTGACATATTAACTACTTTTTATCTATTTCTTCTGGGATTAGGATATGAATTCCTCACAGCTCAGACATTGTTTTATTTACCTGTTGTATCCCCAAGTATCTAGGGCAGGGCCTGATAAAATAAACACTCAATAAATATGTTAAAGGAATGAATCTTTACAGTGTGTTATCTGATCAAGGACAATAAAGAAACATATTAGAACTGTTAGAATGTAATAACTGTTAGAATGACAAGATTATTCAAGGCGTCCCTCACCCAAATCCAGTTTGATAAGCTTCCCGCTACTTATTTTAACATTACTTGAGCTCTTTGGCTACAACAAATTTCTGAGATTTTAAGCAGTCTTGCATTTTCAAAGGATTTTTAAATTCATATGAAGTCTTTTGTCACGCAGGTAGGTAGGCAGCTACACGAATTAGTCAATTATTTCTCAATTTCCTAAATATTATAACATCTGAATACATTCATACACTTAAAATATCGCTGCACTGGTTTGTAGCTCACCAAGAATGAATCTACTAGAGAGCAGTGAAGCAGCACTATAGGAGGAAGGAAGAGTGTGCTTTAGTGATTGTGTTTCCTTCGCCTCAGGTAAGCAGATTTCCCTCCTGTAGGGATCTGAGTCACTCAGGTTCTCAACATGACCAGACAGCTGATTATGTACTAATTTTAAAATGTAAGTCTGAGATGCTACAAGAACGAAAAGATGTAAGATTATTCAAGCCTGAAAAAACAGTACATATTTATTCTCGGACATTTAGGTCCTGCTCTAGAAATCATAGATACGTGGTACATTACCTCTTATTTTTTAAATGTAATACACTAGATACCTATTAGACAGATAGGCTTAAAGGAGGTACTGATTAATTGCAAAATTTGACAGATTGCTATATATTTTCTCCTGTAGGTGATTTTAAAAACATGCTTATAACTCTATAACACATTTCATCAATCTCCTCCCAAATGAATAGTATTGTATTTGGACCAACTGGTACATCTAACAATAACTCTTCCTACAAGAAAATACATTCAAATTTTTAACTTGATGTGCTACATCTTCGTGCTACATCTTCATTTTGGCTGGGATAAAGTACAATTTAGCAGAACCAGGGACAAGAGTATTGACGAAAAGGCCCAGGCCTGAGAGGTTTGGGTTAAAGACCCGAGTCAGGCAGGAAGAGCCCTTTGAGTGATGTCTTGTCTCAGAGATTGTCCTGTATACATGCCATTCCACTTCCGATTGTTCTTACCAGCATTTCCCTCCTTTACCTAAATCACAAGCAGAATAAGCAGTCCCCTAGCTTTTTCACCTACTGTGCTATGCCTCAGGGCACAAGCCTTTTAGGTAAAGCTTTCTCTGCTACCCCTCACCTACATATACCAAATCTTAGCAGGCTTTCCCCACGCCCCAAGTCAAAGCAGATGTCTTGGAACAACTCAGAGTTGACAATGGCAAAAGTTAAAGAAATTAGTTGTATTTTTAAAAGGCTGTTCAAATTGACAGAAAATATGTAATCAATATCTAAAGAATAAGATGTTATTTAGATAATAAAAATTTTTAGATCTATTTTATATTTTGGTATTCACTTTACATTGCATGTCTAAATATGAAATATTTATGAAATATGAAAAATAGATATAAAATTTTTATATGAATAACATCTATATAATGACATCCTTTTCATCTCTAAACACATGTAACTGCAGGGTTTTATAGCCAGCCCAATAATATATTAACAACAAAAATTTATTTGGTACTATATATTAGATAGTATGTTAAGACAATGTAATATTACCTTTAATCTTTACAATAATCTTTTGAAATCCAGCACTATTATCTTCATAACAGGTAAGAAAAAACTTGTTCAAGGTTATATAGTAAATCATGAAACCAGTGTCCCAACTCCAAAATTTGTGAGTTTGCACATTTATACCAGATATATCTGTATGCTATACAACTCTACTGACAATGCAGGTGCAACCTGTTCCAAAACAAACTCCCATTCTTTTCCACACATCCACACCTCCTCAAACGCTCTCTATTTCACTACACGCTGCTTACCTAGTTGCTCAAGCCCATCTCCCAACAATTGACCAAGGAGCCAGTCCTGTTTCTATGGGCTTAAGCATCTAGAGCCCATCCAAGTCTTTCCATCGAGGCCCAGCCACAATCTCAGTCACGCCAGAACACAGGAAAGACTGAAGCACAAGAGGGCGCCTTGCATATAGACTCCAGCAGACAAGTCTATTCTCCGGTAGAGCTGATTCAAGTGGCTAAGTGAGAGACTCAGATTCCAAAACAAATGTTCATGCAATCAATATTTAATGCTCTCAAAGTCTAACCTCGGGGGTAATCATTTGAAGTGAAAACTCTTGAAATAAAATGTATTTTCCTACGTCTTTTCCAGTCCTTCATTTGTTCCTTCTTCCCAGTCACCGGTAAAACCTGGCGAGTGATGCTTCGGTTAAACAATCTCTTCCTTTTAAAACACTTACCTACTTGTTTACCTGAAGGATTTTCAAAACTGTGTCACCAACACCAACCATTCATTTATTTTACAGACCAATCCTGAGCACTTCTTTCTTTGTAAAGAAATGACCGCAACAAGAGAAAGGCAAGTAGCCTTTTTTTATTCACCTTATAAGGATTTTATAACAGTTGAGCTCTTAAATTAAAAACAAAAAAAAGTGTAATAACACTTTTAATAGATACACTGGTAAGGTGCTTTCTAGTTTTCAGATCCTTTCTCATTTACTATTTCATCTTTCAGTGGCCATGTGAAGTAAGCGTTGTAGCTGTCATTCTCAGCTTAGAAAACGACTGAGGCTTTGTCACTTGGCCTGGGTCACTAGGCTATCACGCAGAGTCAGAAGCACATACTAAACACTCAGCATCCACTTTTCTTTCCATTATGTGATGGTCTCTTTAAGAAAAATTTAATTCCTCCATTTATGAAGGTAGAAAGTCTAACTAAGGAAGAATACCAGCTAAACTCAACTTTGTTTACAATTTCTATGCTAAAAATAGTCCAGCGAAGAGAATAAATAAATATTTTTCCTATTCTAAGGACCAAAGGAAATAAACCACCATAGAAATTAAGATGAGATTTCTAACAAAGCTTTTCACCACATTGCAGTTGGGTAACGTAAAAGACCAGGAAATAAAGATAACCACGACATACAGAAATGAGCCGCGAAAAGCATGCACAGAAAAGACATGCTTTCATTTAGAAAAGCAGGCTGCAATAAATTTGCAGGCAATCTGAGAAGACTGTAAAACTGATATGTAAAACTTACCTATGTTTTAATTAAATGAAATACATATACATACAAAGTATGTTCTCCTTTTTTGGTCAGAACAAGCCAACAACAGCAAGTAGCCAGAAATTACCATTAATATAAAAGAAAAATTTAACAGGAAATGGATTTGCTAGACTAAATACATTTTTTAGTCTTAGTTCCAAGAAATGGGTGATTATTTGCGATGAAGTTGGCAAGCCAGGAAATTGAGTTAAAATTTAACAATCTTTTAAATGGCTTTTCTAAATAAATTTTTTTTCAAAGGAAGAAAAATCCCTTTAGTATTAGAAACCTCTTTGCAATATTACATTTTCACTATCCATCATGAATCCCCCGATCTTACAGAAAATAGGTTATGTTTTGAGATAGTCAAATTCAATAGTTCAAATTACCATGACATTTCCTATATTAAGAGAAAAGTCAGGCAGTATATAAGTAATGAAAAGCCAAGTAAGAGATCCAGGAAGGAGTTAACTTAGAAGGCAACCAACTGCGTAGCTTATTCTTACCTTGGCTGTTTTTTTCGCGGGTTGACATTTTTGCTGGTTGAGACAAAAATGATATAACTTACAATAAAAACTGGGCATTTTAAAAATTAACTCTAGTAATGCACATCCCCTTGATTACTATGAGCTAATAAAGTCCACTGAAGTAAAATAAGTCAACAATATAAATTATCAGCATAAATTAAATAGATCTAGACAAGATAAATTCTTTAAAAAAATCATTATTTACCTTGGATGATGGCATCTTTATGCCTAAAAAAAGAAATGCAAACAATACAATTATTTTATATTCTTAACTGGCTGACATTAAAATCACCAGAAGAAATTGCAATAGCTTCAATGCCTAGGATACACCCAGACAGATCTCTCTAAGTAAAATCAAGGCATCAGTATTTAAAAGTCTCTTGCTGTTCTCAACTAAGAATATACTGTTAAAAAATATATTTTAAAAGCATCCCCCTCAACATCATTTAAGCAGTAAAAGCACAGAAAAATCTTTTGAATAAGGCTCATATCTCATGGGTTACTGAGCTTTATTATTTGAGTAGAAGAACATTAGTAGAAGATACAATTTTATTAGAATACTAAAAAGAAAAAATATATAGATTATAATAAATTTCCAAAAAGATCCAAACCAGGCATGTAATAATACACGCAAAGATGAGCATAGAATGATTAAATTTCAGATAAAACTGAGAATGCAGAGTACTTGTCATACTTGCCTGAGTTTTACTATCTTTGATATTGATTTTAAGAAATTATTGTGGGGAGTAGTGGGGTGGGGCGCTAAGGCGTGTGTGTGTGGGGGGGTTTATTGTGGTTGAATATGTGTGTACAATAAAGTTAGCTATTTTAATCATTTTCAAATGTATTCTTTAATGGCAGTAAATACATTCTCAATGGCATGTAATCTTCAGTTCTACTTCCAAAACTTTTAAATCACCCCAAATAAACATTTTGTGCCCTAATATAAAGTAGTAACTTTTTAGTTCCCTTTACTCCAACCCTGGTGACTGCTGATCTATTTTTTGTTTCAATGAATTTGTCTACTGTAGATATTTCATACAAGTGAAATAAAAGTATTTGTGCTTTTGTGTTTGACTTAGTTAATTCACCATACTATTTTTCAAGATGGATCCATTTTATAGCATATATTAGAACCTCATCTCTTTATATGGCTTATAAGTATTCTACTGTATGCATAGGCCACCATTTGGTTTACCCTTCCACTTTTTGTCTACTGTGAATAATGGTGTAGAACACAAGCCAACCATTATTTGTCTAGTCTCAGCTTTCCATTTTTGTGGGGTATGTATAAAACCAGGGGGGGGGATTACTCTCTCATTCACTATTTGAGGCTTCAGTTTTTGAGAAATCAACAAATTTTCCAAAGTGGTTGTACTGTTTTACATTGCCGCTAGCAATGCATGAGTGTTCCAATTTTTCAACATTGGTCATTTTCTGGTTTTTGGTTTACTGTTGGATAAAAGCTATCCTAGTGAGTGTGAAGTAGTAATATCTATTGGTTTTGGCTTGCTTTTCCTCAATGACGAATGATCTTGAGTAATTTTTCACATATTTATTGGCCATTTACATATTTTTGGAGGGGGAGAAATACCTATTTAAGTCTTTTGGTCCCCTTATTGAAAACCAGTGAGCCCTATGGTATAAAGATGTTACGCGGCTCAGTTCTATCCCACTGATCAACAGGTCTATCTTTTAATGCAGAACCACCCCACTTGTACTAGTGAGACTTTGTAGTCATGTTGAATCAGAAAGTAAGATTCTTCAATTCTGTTATTTCTCAAGTTTGTTTTGGCTAATGTGGGTCTACTGAGAATGGAAACTCCTAAGGCTTGGCTTTTCTCTTTCGGTTAGAGTTCTGTTGGAATTTTGATAGCGGTTACATGGAATTTATGGATTGTTTTGGGTAGTATTGACATCTTAAGTCATCTTGACACGGTAAGTTTCCCAAATCATGAACATGAGCATCTTTCCATTAATTCTGGCCTTTTAAAGTTTTGTTAGGAACCTTGGTGATGTGGTGGATTAAGCATAAACGTGCTAAGCAAAAGGTTTACAGTTCTAATCTATCAATTACTTCGTGGGAGAAAGATGAGGCAGTTAGCGCTGGTAAAGATTTACAGCCTTAGAAATCCTAAGGAATAATTCTACTCTGTCTTACAGGGTTGCCATGAGTCAGAAATATCTCCATGGCAGTGGGTTTGGTTTATTGCTTTGTTCTTTCAGCAATGTTTTATACTTTTTAGTGTGCAAGTCTTTCACATCCTTTGGTAAGTTTATTTTAGATATTAAAATGTTACAATAAATAGAACTGTTTTCTTAATTTCCTATTCGTTATTCTATTCCAGTACCTAAAAACGCAATTGATTTTTGTGTTCTGATGCTGATTATGATGCCTAAGCTACCCTTAATAACTTAATTAAAATGTCATTTGAATTTTCTCATGAATTAAGGATTTTTAGCTGGTGGCTGTCATTGTATGATAAAAGAAACCTTAATTTCTCAGAGGAAAAGTCTATGAATAGCAACGACATATTAATGGAACAGTCTAAATATAATACAAAAGCAGCACTTAACATTTCCTTAAAGCTATGTAAGAGAAGAAAAAATTAGTTGAAAGGTCCTGCCTGGATGAGTGAAGGCATTTAACAAGACAATTACCAAATTACAAAATCTGATTTCTAGTTCTCACGATTATTAAAAATAATCACTAGGGTAAGTATTATGCAGTAAAAATGTATATACACTTTTTGTTTTGCAAAACAGATTGGTCATTGCTTCATCTTTGGATATTGATATTTTTCATAATTTTTAGTTACAGGAAAACTGCTTTATCAAAGTCATTGAATTACTAGGCCTCCATCTTATTATATATGGCATAAATTATGAATTTTAATTGTAGGATTAAAAATAAAACTTGTGTCTACATCATTAGATATAATTTTACCCATGTCAGAAGTAAGATGTAAAGACTAAAATATCTTTAGTCCACACGTTGTCTGAATTTTTTAAATTAATAAACCATTTTTGGCCGCATTGTTAACTACCCTACAACTCATCCAGTCTGTAGTGCTTCATGCAACAGTAAATCCAAAGAGCAATTTAGAATGGCAAGCGCATTTCCAGCTGAAAAAAAGACCCTGGGGCAAGGACAATAGCTAGTCAAATCATAAACTTAAGATTATTATAAAATACCATCTTTTATCCACGCAACATTTTTGTGTCACATTAGTACAAACAAAACAAAACTTCCAAATGAGACCAGGCAGAAGAATTACAAATGATTTCGACAGTGAACGTATCTGTGTGAGACACAGAGACAAAGAAAGCATTTTATAAAGGTTAAACATGCATTAATCAAGTGAAAAGTATTTTGTTTCCCAAATTTCCATCAGAGGTCAATAAAAAGATCTTATAAATGTTTTAAGGGTTACTGTAATTTATTTTATCAAAATCTTGGCCAGTTCTTGAATCGCTTAATATTTTCTTAAGATTTACAAAATATGATAAAATATACCTGTATCTATAACTGATTATAAAGGTCAAATAAGCATTTCTAAAACTGTCAAATTTCATAATATTGGTCTAAATATATGAACACAAGATAGCATTTCTGATGGTTAACCTGGCCAGGCTATTGTTTGGGCACATGCTGAACTGGCTGCTATTCCATAATACAATGTAATCATATTACATGGGATCTGATGTGATAAATCATCAGGTGAAATAGTGGTTTCCTTAGGGATATGATCTACCTCCAAAATATAAATTATATTCTTGCAGCTTGTCACCTGACCTGTAAAAAGTCCGGTCTGCCACGTGATCTACACAGGCGTTGAAATCGCCACATCAGCAATACTCAGCAGGTCTCCAGCTTGCTGCCTGACTTACTGATCTGGGACTTGCCAACTCTAAAATTGAGTTATTTCCTTAAAGTAAATTTCTCTCCATATATTTCTACATGTAGTCTTGCTGGTGTTGCTCCTCCACAGAACCCAACAGCATCTGAACTCCCAGCATGCAGGTTTAGATTCACAGTTGCGAACCACGCAAAGTTAAGACATTTCGCCCTTCTCCCCTTCTCTTAACTTTCGAGTATTAATTATTACAGACAGAGAAAAGCCCTCAAGCAAGCCTTTAGCACAGAAAAGATCAGGTGAAATAGATAATTTCTCTATTCAAGCAAGAACTTATTCTCCCAAAACCCAAACTTGAAACTGAGATGCAGCCACAATGAAGAGCCATTTGTTGGTAAGAGCCCTTGCGAGTTGAAGGTTGTAATGATGCCAAATCATGGTGAAGATAATTAGACATGGCAATTTTGCATCCATGGCTAAAAATTTACTCATCATTTAAAAATATAATCTATAATTTTATGCATTATGAAAATATTCTATTGTGGTTTTAGAGCACGCTTTTTGGCCTGCCTTTCATCAGATTAAGTTTATAGCACATTTATTCATTTTCTTAAGGTTTTAACTAAGAAATTTTGAAGATACAGTAATCTTCATTTCCAAATGTGCTAACAAATAGAATGTCTCAACAAAAAGGGAGACTAAAAGTCACTCGGCTTCTCTCTCATAATTCTTGCATAGCTAAGATTTTTGCAAGTCATAAAATGTAGGTATCATTACAACCATTCTCTAGCTCTGTAGTCAAGGACAGTTAAAACCTTTTGGTGGGAGTAGGATTCTTGCTTTCTTGAGTTTTTTTCTGTGTTTGGAGAGGCTGTGAGGAGGGCTGGGGAGAAGGTGATGCTCGAATTTGTGGACTTTGATCATTAGAATGAGATTCCTCTCTTTTTTCTCTCTTTCCTTGTGGTTTTTCTTTCTTTTTTTCTGTACCACTGCAAAATAAAGTATAACATGGAACAACACATATTTAAGCAAGTGAAAACACAAATCAAATGATGGGAAAATGATTACTATAGAATTCAAAACTTTAAGAAATACAGCTCATAGAATTCATTCAAAAATAAAAATAAATTTCTTTGGAAATTCTGGAAAACTATTAAAATTTTCATGAAGAAGCTTTAAGAAAATGTTTGAGGAAACCTACCTCTCTAGACAAAAATGGCCTTCTTAGCAGATCGTGGGAAATAGCAGCTCTCTTAATTGACCACAATTTCCAGAGGATTCGTGACACTTTTACCATTTCCTTTGCAAAGCATACTGACTAATGCTCAAGGCCCAGCACATGTTCAAATGTAGTGGGTTAGTCCCTAGTGAAGTCTCCTATTTCTCTTGTAGTCGTTTACTCCAGCCAGGTGACTTACCAAGTCAGCTACCTTGCCCTCAACCCTGTTCATGTCCAATTGTAGTTAACTGCAATTGTGAAATTTAGCTTAGTAAAAGGGAACTAGACAAAACAGAGATAAAAATAATAATCCATAGAAATGAATTCCTAAAAAAAAATTGTCATCAAATCTAGGTTGGGTAACTTAATTATACAATGTCGAGAGACAAAAATAGAAAAATATTTCTAACTCATTGTTTTACAAGTCTTAAATTTCTGTTATAAAAAATAAATAATTTTAAGTGATTTATAAAGATATTTGATCTAAGACACTGAACAAGGAATCTGATCAAATTTTATTTTAGAAAGAAAAGGGTAGAGGCTTGAGGGTTTTTTTAGTTGACAAACTAAACTGACATGAGTATATTCTAAGTTTAAAGATATTAATTTTTATGATTTTACAGTTTGACACATGAAAAAATAAATTAGCAGCCATTCCCAATCACATTGGCTAAAAATCTCAACCATACAAGTAATCCTGACAATATTACAAAGCAGATAGGACCCATTAAATTCAAGCACTGAAATGTAGAAAAATAACAATTGTTTATACTTCATTCAAAGGGCATTTAAAAAACATGATCATGAAATTCATTATATATAAGGATGTGTGTGCAGAACAATTTTAATAAACACCCATGGTTAAATACAATTTAACCATTTCATTATTGTTGTTGTTAGGTGTGATCAAGTTGGCTCCAACCTATAGCGACCCTATTCCTAACAGAACAAAACACTGCACAGTCCTGCGCCATTCTCACAACTGTTCTGTGCCTGAGAGACCATTCCATCATAATGGCTAAAAATATTACAATGCAAGTTTGAGTGCGATATTTCTTAATCTGTTTTGGTTCTCACATCTTATAACTTCAGACTGGTCCTAGATTATTTCAGGCTCAAGTTAATTCAAAGTATACAATAAGAATACAATTCTATCTTCAAATTCAGATTAACTCTGAAGTTAAAAACAAACAAACTGCAAAAAACCTTTGAAGTTAGTTTTTCTTACTGGCATTCCAATCATCCAGAATTCATATATCACTAGGTCTCATGTGAGTACAATATAATTAAAAGGGATTTTTTTCTTGGATTATTTTTAAAGCAGAGAATAGTATCTACATCACAGAGTAACAGAGTTCCCTGATAATGTGTGTGTGCCAGTCTCAGATTTTGTACAATACTGATCATTAAAACGAACTGGATCTCAACCATTATGGGGTAAAACAAAATGAGGTATATTAAAATGTAATGACAATGACTTCAACAATTAAATCCTGGAACAGAGTTTTAGAATATCTAAAGATCTTATCATTTCTTCACCATTCCTGTAGCCAACTGTTTGATTAAACACTTAAAATCACACTGAAGAATATAGTTCAGTCACAGGCATTTGTTTACTGAGGTAACTTTTCCAACAGTTAGACATTATTAGATATAATATCTATAGTATAGATTATAGATATAATCCAATACCATCAGATATTACTCTATTACTTAAGGTTTTTCTTCATTGTTTGAAGAAAGCAATTGTAATATTACGTAGTTGACTAAGCTGTCTAAGCTCTTTATGGAATGATCTCCTAGGAATTACACAACAAGGGAAAATTCTATTAACAATTTTAATCAAGCAATAAAAACAAACCAAGCTCACTGGGTCGAGTCAATTCCGACTCCCAGCCATCCTACAGCACCGGGTAGAACTGCCCCCGTGAGTTTCTGAGACTGTAACTCTCAACAGTTTCAAATAGCTGACCTTACAGTTGGCAGCCCAGACCCTAAACACTACACCCCCAGTGCAACAGACCAATTATTTCATAAGAAGAGCAGAGGATATAATCTGACATTTATGAAACTTTTAGATTACAACATTTTAACTGTCTCCCTGCCCACTACACCCAAATACAAATATTTGCAATTCACTGACATCGAGTTAATGCCAACTCATAGCAACTCTATTATAGAGTATGGTAGAACTGCCTTGGTGAGTTTACGAGACTATTAACTCTTTATGGGACAGCAGCCCATCTTCCTCCCTCAGAGTGACTGGTGGTTTTGAACTGCCAACCTTGCAGTTAGTAGGCCAACATGTTAACTCTATGCCACCAGGGCTCCTGATACAAAATATAAGCTTAACACAACACTATAAAGTTTTGAGTTATGCTTTGACTTTATAACTTCTAAAGGATAAAAACATTATAATAATAACTTATCTCCCTTTAATCTCTGTAAATGTTATAAAAAAGACATTCTACTTCCCATTTTAATCTTCTCCTGAACTGCAGGACATGCCATGCCCACCTGCATTTTCCTCCATGGGCTTTCTCAGACAACTGCTTTCCACTGGCAGTGTGAGGCCACAATGACGGGCCTGAACGACTGTTTGAAGTCAGAGAAAGGGGCCTGTGCTGCAAGTCACTGCTTCTACGAGGTGGTGTCCTCTAGAGGGAATGGATGACCGCTATCCTAGAGTGTGAGCTTTAAGAACTTTGTTCCCGTCTGGCACTTTTTGCTCACAGGTCTGACTTCAAAGGAAAGCTGGGAAAGGCAGAGTACAGTATTACAATGAAATCTGCAGACTTGGAGCAGAAAGCTGAAAGTAAAGAAAATACTCACCCTATCTTATACTTAAAAAACAAAACCTGGATTAGGAGTTGGGCTGCTAAAAGCAAAGTAAGTCATTTGACCCCACTAGCCGCTCCACAGGAGAAATATGCGGCTTTCTGTTTCTGTAAAAATGTATAGTCTTGGAAACTCTAGGGCAGTGGTTCTCAACCTTTCTAATGCCACGACCCTTTCATACAGTTCCTCATGTTGTGGCGAGGCCCCCAGCCATAAAATTATTTTCGTTGCTACTTCATCACTGTAATTTTGCTACTGTCATGAATCAGGCGAGCCCTGTGAAAGGGCCATTAGGGTCACAACTCACAGGTTGAGAACCACTGCTCTAGGGAGTAATTCTAATCTACCCTGTACGGTCGCTATGAATTGGAATCAACTCCAATATGGTAGGTTTGATTTATTTTGATATTTATGGGTAAAAAATTGAGTGATGGAAGGATCACCAAAAGAAGATTAAAGAAATGCACCGTCACTGCACTAGAAAGAACTGGTTGACATTCAACCATTTTTTTCTACAGGTAGCTTATGAATAAGAACCGACGGTACTGAAGGCAATAAAGAAAACAGGGCTCCAGAAGTTGTTGGAATACCAATTGAAATGTTTCAACAGGCACCCCCTCATCTGCTGAAAGCAAACTGGAAGAGCGCTACCTGGCTAAGTGACTGGAATTGACCTATATTTGTGCCCATTCCCAAGAAAGGTTACATAGAATGCAGAAATTGTCCAACAATAGTATTCACATGACCTGCAAGAGAAATTTTTCTGAATCTAATCTAAAAGCACTTGCAGCACTAAATCAACAGGGATCTTGACTGAAGGTAAAGCTAATCAGAAAGGTGTTTACTTGTGTTGTATTAACCATGCAAAGGCATATGACTGTGTGGACTGTAACAAACCATGGATTACAACGCACAGAATGAAAATTTCGAAACACTTTTTTGTGCTTGTGTGGAACTTGTACATGAACCAAAGGGCAGTCATTCAGACAGAATAAGAAAATGCTGCATAATCTGAAATCAGAAAGTGTGTGTGTCAGAGATGTATCCCTTCATTGTACTTATTCAATCGATATGCTGAGGAGATAAGCCGAGAAGCTGGGCTATATGAAGAAGAACGTGGCATCAGAACTGTAGAGAGACTTATTAACAACCTGCAAAATGCAAGTGACCCAACCTTGAATGTGAAAGTGAAGGAAGCAATTGCTGACGAATGAAGAACAGCCTTTAATATGGATGACAACTCAATGTAAAAAAAACCCAAATCCTCACAACTGGACCAACAGACAAAATTATAACTGAAGAAAAGTCCGAAGTTGTCAAGGATTTCATTTTGCTTGGATCCACAATCAATGCTCACGTAGGCAGCAGTCAGGAAATCAAACGATGTGTTGCATTGGGCAAATCTGCTGCACAAGGCCTTTTTAGAGTATTAAAAAGAAAATCTATCACTTTGAGGACAAAGGTGTGCTTGATCCAAGTCACGGTATTTTCAATTGACTCATGTGCATGTGAAAGGAGCTCTGTTGATATAATGGGTCATGCAATGGGCTGCTAATTGCAAGGTCAGTGGTTTGAACCCATCAGTCTGTCCTCTTCTCTCTTAAAGAGGACAAAGGTGAGGTTTTCTGCCTGCGAAATCCAAAGGGGCAGGCCTATTTTGTTCTGTAGGGTCGCTATGAGTCAGAATTGACCTGATGGCAATGAGTTTGGTAATAGGCATGTGAAAACTGTAGAAAAGTTGATGCATTCAAATTATGGTGCTAGTGAAGAACACTGAAAGTACCATGGGCTTCCACAGGAATGAAGCTGTCATGAAGGGAAGTACTGCCAGGTTGCTCTTTAGAAGCAAGGGTGGAGACATTTTTGTCGCATGTACTTTGGACACGTTATCAGGAGGTGCCAGTCCCTGGAACAAGCCATCAAGTTTGATGAAATAGAAGATCAATAAAAAAGCTGAAGACCCTCTCTGAGGTGGGATGACTGACCGCAACAGTGGGCTAAAGCACAGCAAGAACTACGAGCACAGGGCAGGACTAGATGTTCGGTTTTGCTGTAGCTATGAGTTGTAGCTGTAAGTCAGAGTGTACTCAGCGACACCTAATAACAATATAGCATGTAAGTTTACTTCCAGGTTCCTGTGTGTTTGCAAGGGAGCCCTGATGGTGTAATGGTTACAGATTGT